GTACAAATGGTAAACGGTATATTTAATTGCTTTTTTTTTTTTTTTTTTTTTATTTTTTTTTTTTTTTTTTTTTTTTAAACCCCCCCCCCCCCCCCCCCCCCCGCCATAACAAACAGATGAATAGACAAACAAACGAAACTCTCGGGAAAGCAAGGTGGATTCAATATATTCATGTTTTAGGGCAGTTCTGGTATGCCCGTTTGCCAGGCATTCCGGGCTACGGAGGCTGGTAATTCGGCGACGCCTCCATTCCAAGGGTCGTTTACCAAGGTACCGGGAAGCTCGGCTACGTGCACGGGATGGTGCATATACTTGGGGTCAGCGTTAGTGTACATGATTTGGTCCATCGATTTCATGGCGTGCAAGCTCGGCGGTGGCGGTGATTGAGCTGGAGAGATGTTTGGTGAATCAGACCATGCCAGGTCTGGGCTGTGAGTTACCGAGCTTCCATCGATGGGCGGGCTCTGTTCTCTCCGGTCTACCCACTGGTTAAGACCGTGCACGTCCTCCGCTACATCGGCTTCCTCCTCCTCGTAGACTGGGGTAAATTCCTCATCTAGCGTGAAGCGGTGTTGTGCGATAATGCGCTGGAACTCCGCTCGCATCTTTGAGGTGCTTAGAGGTTCGTAGACTTTGACGGTGTGGATTGGGATGAGGCGGTCGATCTCTTTGTGGACAAGGGCCCTCACCGACGATGGTCCGTTGACACTTAGTCCCTCGCGGCTAACACAATACTGCCCAAGTGATTCTTGGAAGTCTTGCTTCGTCACAAACCTACCCTTTCTGGTAAAGGCAGCGGAAAGAGTGAGGACCAGATCGCATGTGCATTTTGCAATCAGCCTAGAGGCAGGTGGGATGAAAGCGAAAGGCAGTGACGCCAAAGCTGGGATGCCGCCGATGACGGTCCCCACGGTAAGCCCAATACCGAGACCGAGGAGCACGGCCAATTGACTAACTATAAGATCAATGGAGTGAGCAAATTGTCCTAGGAGGCATCTCTATAATGGTTATTGGAAACGAGCTGCCAAGGCCTCGAGAAAGAAGCGCTTGTTTCCTCAGACATTACAGGATGGTAGCTTTTAGGCGGTACTCACAGCTCTGTGTCACAAAACTTCCCATATTTTTCCATAACAGATTCCTAGCAATACGCTCGATCTCGCTCACCTTTGCTGAGCCTGAAAGGCCGAAGCTTCTGATAATCCTTGAGCAGAGGAAGTGTGAAATAGTAGGAGTAGTCAGTACACTGGTAAACATCATTGAACCCATGACTGAAGACCAGTTGGTGAAATTTAAGAGCCGCATGCTTTCCTCGATGGCAGCAGAAATCTTCATGTCGACGTCTGCTATTTGGGCGCTGACGAAATTCGCCCGGGCGGAGTCATCGGGAACCATCATAATTGTATATTTGACAAGGTCTTTGATCGACTCCTGGTCTCCTAGACGCAGTCTTTTAGCTAATTGCATGAACGACAAGGCAGCTTCTATTAGATTCATGTGCGGGCCAGGGGTGTAGAACTTACTCCTTGATGTATACACAAACGGAGCAAAGTCTTTCTCTAACCCAAGCTTTTGTTCAAGTTGGCGAATATCTTCTTCTTTTACCCGGGAAAACTCTTCTTCAGCCTGCGCACGGGCGCGACGGTCAAGCTCTTCGCCAACGCATCCCGCATCTTCTAGTTGTTCGCGCGCAGCTCCGTAGTGTTCGTTGATAAATCGGTCTTTCATGGTTCGAACAATGATGACAGGAACTGCCCGAGCGTACTTGTCAAGAATTTCGAAAATTTTCTTGTCCGCCTCGTGCACAACTCGAGTTGATGGTACATCGATGCAAAACCTATTTATAATGTCAACAATCATTACCGGTGTAGTGTACTGAGAATAAGGGATCCGGGGTGGCCGTCTAGCTGTGGTAGAAATTTCAGCATCCTGTGGGCTCCTAGACGTACCATATTGCGTCAAGCCTATCTTCGGACTTTCCCGCTGATGCTCGTTTTTTGACGAATCTTTCTAGAAGCTCAATTTCTTCAGTCGCACCACTTTGGAAACCCCTTGAATCATGAACAATGAGTCCAGGCAAAGTGTCCATTTCGAATCCTTCATCCACATCGTGAATGCCATGATCATTAGACGATTCCGTCGTCTAAAAATGACAGAGTAAGCTTAAGTAACAGCCCGTATGAATAGGCATACTTACCACAATAGAACCAAACACTTTATTGATCAACGTGGACTTCCCGACGCCTGCCCTACCGCATACGAGGACACGGCAATTCTTGAGCTCTGGACCCCCCAAATCGGCGAGGGTAGCCCGCCAAGGATCCATATAGGCGCTCCCTTGAACTTCTTGTTTAACGAAGCTGGAATCCCTGAAAGTACTTAAGCCATCGTTATATTGATTAAGTTCGCCCGTAAAACCCAGACGGTCGTACACGTCGCTTACGAAGTAAACTGATGGGTGTATGATGGTACCGCAAGGAGCTTCAGGTCAAGATACAATCAGCATTGTGTCGCAAGATTCGTTCATGTCGCATCAGTGCTAAGAATTATGGGGGTTGGGGGTGGGAGAAGCAAGGAAAACTCACTATTATCTAAGTAACCAATAAGTCCCCGTGAGTCAAATACCTCCCTCGACGCAGAGAACATTGAGAGCAAAGCAGCTCCAGAGTTGATTTGGACAACGTGGGGACGAGGCCCGACCTCGACGACTTCAGACTTCAGGGATGGTGCCCATAAAGAATCGATATCGGAATCCTTCCTCGATTGTGTTGAGGTGACCGAATTTAACGATGACTTGCTCGCTTTCCTGTTGAGTCGGAAACGATCTTTCCATGATGGTTTGCGTGGTGGCTCGCACACTGGATGGCCAATCGACGACTGGCTGTCATCACTCTGGTTCCTCCTCCGTGTAAACCTCTTTTGTAATATGCTCTTTTTACTAGCTTGTAGGTTGCCATGGCGATGTGACGACCTTATGTCGACCATTTCAATCTCGATACCATTTTTATACCGAAAAGTCCATGGTTGCAGAGGCTGCTGCGGTTTCGAGGTATCCTGATCTGGAACAAGCGGAAATACGAGCCCTAAGGGCTCCTCTGTGATACTCTGATTGTCCCAGGAGGGCTCAAAGATGAGCCCATGTGCTCGGCTCTCCAATAGCATCCATTGCAGAGGATAGAGAGACAGCCCGTCCTCTTGTGAGCCGCCACCAATGTCAGCATGAGAACCGATGAACCAGGCCTCGATAATTGAGCGGTGTGCCAGATCCGGAGAAAGCGCCGGGAGAGGACCGAAGAGACAGGGTTGAAAAGAACCACGAGTCTCATTAAGGGCGAGGGCATGGCGAAGGATGCGAGTTGACTTCAAGAAGGGTGGCTGTGGTCTTGATTCTCGCCCAATTTTTATGCAATCCAAAAGACCCAGGAAATGGATTACAGGTTCATTGCCCCAGGACTTAGCAGCTCTAGTGTTAAGTAAGCACATGCGACCTCTAGCTTTACTTTAGGCACAATGTTAGACTCACATGTATCGAAAAGCCTGTTAGGTAATTAGCAGGTGGCCCAAAAAAAAAAAAAGTGTCAGCAATGTGCGAAACTCACCTTCAACGCGCTCTGTGCTTTGTGTTGAGAGTCGCGAAAAGAAGGCAACAGACTGATTCTTTGCTCATACTCACGCTCATCCCAGGTTTGAGTTGTGGTGAGCTGGTGAAAAAGGTCTGCAACGACTCGTAAAACATCTTTAAGCAAAGAGTGAGGTCAGTTTGTAGATTCAATACATGTTTGACGACGTCGGCAAATGGGGGATTGCGGTGTCATCAGGATCGATTACATACAGGCACCACGACTAAAGCCATACAACCACAACTCATCAGTAGACTCGCTGAGTTGTTGACAGCAGAACTGGTTTTCCTACGTTAGCAACCCCTCCGGCAAGACTTCTCGTGAACATGTGCAAATTTTGGGTTCGTACAGCAAAAATTCTGTTGACTTGATTATCCAAAGCTTCTTGGGTCGTGGTTATGCCGTCGTTAAAAGTATCAAGAGGCTGCTTGTCAAATCCGACACCAGATTCGTAATATGCTACTTGCTTGATCGCCCTATTATCCTGAACAAATGTGCCTTCTTTGACGGTTGAGTATATGCGATAAATGTTGCTGTTATTACCCTCCCGTCGAACAATATGTCCGTTGGGGTCGTACCAAGGACTATCGACACACACAACCACGCGCTTCACAGGGTTGTAGGACATGTTGGTTTGATGCTCGTGCATAGTAGCAGATTGTTGACTGCATTAGATGAGTAAGCCAGGCTGTTACCGCGTCGTTGGTTCTGCCTCTTCTTGTTATTGTTGTTGTTGTTGTTGTTGTAGTTGCACGTGGGTGGCCCTGCAGCCCAGAGAAGAAAACCTCTTTTAACAAGAACACAAGATGCAGACACGGGCGTGGTGATCAGGGCTGTAAAAAGACACGGACTGCAGATCTCGAATCTGACGTGGGACTCTCGTCTCTCATCAGCTGGGCCTGCAGGGGCACTCACTTGGCTACACTACGCTACAATCCATGAATGTGTCGTCCTACCTCTAGTGTACACACATACATCCTACGATGGTACTGTACAGTATGGATGTGTACACTACTAAGCATATGCAGGAGCTAGTCGCGTCAAGCCCGTCTCGAGTAGGACTCGATCCTGTTGAAATTTGCCCTTCTCCATGCGCTCGGTACCAGGCATGGCATGGCGGTCACGGCGATGCAGGTCCAAATAAGAAAGATTCCATGCATTGACGCAGAGTTTCCATAGGGCAGAGTCTGGGCAGAGCGCCATGGCAGAAGTAGGGTCTCATAGAGTGCGGTCGAGTAGCCAAAATGCTCAGTAGCGTGCGACAGAACTGGGTCCATCTTTTCCATTTTTAACTTGACGACTGTCAAAACGATGGCGTCGATGGACGATCCCATCTGTTTGATTGGACTGGTTCCAGGGCTGAGGATCATGAGAGAGCGTTGATTTGGAATGCTGACTTAGCTGGCTGCATGCGTACCTGTCGTATACGCAGGCAGGGTACGAACACTACTGTACCTTAGGTGCCAGCCCCACTGCAGTTGCCAGCAGCCCGACGGATATCTTGGCAGTCGCCCATCTGTTTTCGTGACAGCTGGCCACTAGCCCCCTTATTAGGCCCTGGTCTAATTTACCCTTATTCTGACGCTAACTTTTACGCTTAATTTACGCTTAATTCTGACCAGCTTCTTGGCTTCAATTGGACCACTTACGTGCAATTCAAAAGCCTTGGGCTCGTAACGTGCACTACTTACATATCATAGCAAGTAGTATCGCTGCCTGTGGGGATTGCTCTCGCTTCTTCGGAAAGCAATATCCGCTTACCTGGATTCTCGACGACGCTACTACTTTAGGTAAATCGTGAGATATGAACAACGAACAACGAACAATGAACAACGATAGAGCACACAACGAATAACAGGTAACAGGGGTACGATCGGCAATATGACAGCATAGCAACCTTGAAATGCCTACCTCTATGTCTACTCTGTGCCTACTATTAGGTACCTACCTATCCATTCCCCATGCCTCCACTGCCATATCCTACTTTCTTGATGGCTAGCTCGCACGTCCCTGTGGTTCCCTTCATCACTGGTCACCTGAAAACCATTACATCAATTGTGCCCAATGAGCTGTGTTCTCGATAGATAGGCTGATGGCTGTAGGATGAAACCCTCTAGGCAGGCTCTAGGCAATGCACGTCAGATATACTACCATAAAAAGCGCCACCTCTAACTTCTACATATCCTACTTCCATAGTACTAGCTGTCTAGAAATTTGCGCCATGCTAGATCAGCAACCATCTCCGAGGGCGGCTTTGGAATTGGAGTAGGTAGTATCTCCTGACAGTTCGTTGAATCCTGCGGCACATGATTTGACAATTGCGCCGAATTACATGAAATCATAAACGGCCTCAGCTATCTTCTTCCTTCGTCAACTGTTCTGCCCACGAAGCACCGATCTCGAAGTATTGGATGTGGGGAGAACTTCAAACGTTACAGGGGATCTAGAACAAGTTGCGGCGCAGCTGATCGATCGACTCACGATACCAGATGAAGATATCAAAGCTGTCCACCTCCACCCTAGTAGGTATGTCAAGCAACTAAATAGCTCTCCACATAAGAAGCAAAGGAACACGACACCTGGATCAGTCTGCCTACATACACTAAGACAACTAGGCGTACCTAATTGATAGGTAAAGAGTAGGCTAGGTAGGCACACGTACAGACATACTGACATACAGACATAGACCAGCCCAGCCCTGTGGGCAGAAGAGGGATTGCCCCTGCAAACTGCGCCTGTTCATTGCATACTTGCAGAATCCGCCTATCTGGATACCTACCACCTTTCTGCAATACTACAGGTTGATTTGCCTGCCGCTGCACGATTCTGCATGATGCCAGCACATCTTTCGCCGCCGAGTCTGTTGCTGGTCTCTTTCGTTTCTATACCCATTCCAGCCGCGCAACATAAAATTCTGGCGGATTGGTAATAACTCACATGAAGGTGATAGTCCCTACACATTCGTCTTGTTCCTTCTACCACCATACAATACGGCGTAGAGCCATACTTGTAGTGTAAAAAGAGTAATCAACCACTAGATAAGGAAACGATCATCTAGTTCCCGCATATTGTCAGCAGTGGCCACCTCGCAAGCTACACTAGATAGACTAAGGCGCATAGTTCACGGGCTACGTCAATCGTCCCATTTATTAGCGCGCTTCGTTCGAATGCATGTAGCAAACACCTAGAGTTTTTTTCCTAACACTAAAGACACCAAAATAAGGGTCCAGGTCCAAGTCCAAGTCAATTACAGTTTCATCAAGGTAAATTGTTATGGTAGTCGGATTAGCCTAGTTCTACCCACTTCGGTGACAAACTAACAGTAGCAAAGTCTCAACTAAAGACGACTTATCTGTAATGATAACTTCTCAAATACCTGCTTACCTAGGTAGTCAATTAGAAAAGGGGAAAAGAGAAAAAAAAAAAAAAAAAACGCTCCGATATCGTGATTGATAGAAGACCGCATGGCATAGACGGGGCTTGACTCTTATCCGCTGATGCATTCTATGCCAGTTCTTCATCACACAGGAAGCAGTACCACCCACGTGTAGCTGAAATGTGGCCGGTAAGAATGCGGACATTGAAAGATGTGAATTACACTTGTATACAATCAGCTTCCCTGTTTTATGAGGCATATCTAAACTCCTCAACCTAAATTCAACGATACATACACAGTTTCAAGTTGAGCCTTAGAGTTGACTCGCGCAACGACAAACTACGCCATTACCCCAGTGGTTTTCAACTGATGGAAATAGCGATCTGATATGAATAAATTGGCGAATTCTCTTCGACGCTAGAGGCCAGTTTGCCATTTCAATTTGAGACATGTTGAAGGACCTCGGAGGTTAGGAAGGTCGATGTGAGAACTGCAACCGTGAGGTACTATATTGGTACTTGTTGTTGGACGAAGGTGTTGAAGCCTTTCGTGGCCAGGCTAGGGCTATATTCAGCGAGCCTCGTCATCTATAACTTTAGGATCGTGACAGCCGATCCAATTATATAAAATCGAAACTAGGCTCCAAATTGTGAGTGAAGGGGTTCAAATGTGCCATATACACCTCAAGTCCATAGCATTCTACGTAATGTGAATAGCTTCAATTCCAAGTCCAGTCATCCAGCACTTGCTCCATGTACCTCTAGCAAGATTGAAGTAGGAACCGAGGAGGAAGTTCAGTAAAGTGCCAGGATCTTTTATGGGATCTTGAGCTGCTTTGTATAGCTAACTTCAGCTGTAGAACGAACCCCCTTTTTGTCTCATAGTCTCAGAAGGAGTTCGAGATGAGCTGAAGTGGGTGGTATACATCTGACTCTGTCGATAGAAGCTCAGAATCAGAAATATTGATGAGCAGCACAAGGCTTCTAATGATCTCTAATTCTATTGGTAATTCTAAAAATGATTAACGTCACTTTGTTCACTCGTTGTGCTGGGAATAACAAGCATCGGTTGACACACCATAGCTCCAGTGTCCAAATGAAACAGAGCAAATGTCGCGGAAATCCCACAAATTTATAAGTGAGAAATGCGCCCTGTTAGATATGAATGCTGCGAGTAAATAAGTAGTGTACGCGTAGGACGACAATGATCGCGAAGTGAGTTATGATGCTTGCGTGGCGGAAACAATCACAAGCTTTGCGCAATTTCAGCTGAATCACCATTCCTCTGCACTGAGGTAGGGTGAGAATCTAACAACTTTTTGTCTTATGAAGATTACACATACAATACTTGAATTGTAGCCAGAATGCGGTATGTATGTATGCACATATATGAATGTCACCGAAGGGTGCTTGTATTCTTCCTATGGCGAGACTGTCTGCGATCTTAGAAGCAGCACAAGGCCGTTAAGATATTCCATCGTAGTCTTGCAGTATTTGTAGTCGGTAATCCTTCTATCGTTGGTATTTAGTTGAGTGTTGGATTTGGCTAAAGCATCCCTTGGTCCTGTATCAATATAGGCATCCGCAGAGAGCTGGTCTAGAAATAGGGGTAAAGGCAATGACTCATTGATTCTCGAATCAGAGTCTCCCATTCCCAGGTCTGTCGGATACACAACTCTACTTAAAATCATGACCACTACATTTTTGCTGTGAAATCAAAATCACCCTGTTTTCATCGCCAGCAGTGGATGCTTTTCCATCACGATTACCATTTCCTTCCAACAACATCTAGTGAAGCAGCCCTGCCTAATATTCGAGCTGCCTGAGATCATGAGAGGTGAACCTGTATTCTAGACTTCCAATCCCAAGCCCGATCTTCCAATGTAGTACGCATTGCAGCTGTGTTCATCGTATCATCCCATTGTAACTACGGAGATCGTCGAACTCAGGTTTTCACACAGCCCATGAAACACATGCGTCTCCTTCGCTTCAGCATTGTTATCGTCATCCACCTTTATAGATTTCATATGCTTTTCCCTTTGTGTCAGCTTCAAGTCTTCACTCACATCCGTGACTGATGCTGAGCTCACTTAACTCAACTCATCTTCATCTGAGTAGCTGTGAGAGTTCTCTGGTGAAAATTTATATAAGCTGCACGATAGATATAGTCAGCATAGGTGAAGTCTTCACTTATAGAACGCCCATCATTATGGTTGTCAGTGCGATGCGTACTAGCCCATTACATGTGCCCCCAACACTCCTGTGCGCGAGCCTGTCTTCTTTAACGGGTTTATCCATTGCGATAGCGTCGTTTCGTCGACACCACATCACTAGAGAGCTTTATGTTATGGCCGATATACCATAATGTTCAAATTACGAAAAGAATCCGTCCCACAGTTCTGAGTGATTTAACACCGTGCTGGCAAACGTGAAGACAGTATTTACCTTCTGAAGCATCCAGTAACACTAGTCGCGAGCGCCAACAGGTCAAGTAGATATTTACTGACTGCTTAGTATCCCGAGACGGTATTCCATGTCTCGGCCATCTAAGCCACAACGCACCCATTCCCGGGGGCTGAGGATAAGGTAAAGAGGAACAACAGCACACACACACGCACGCACGCATAAGAGGCATCAAAAGGAATTAATAATATTAGGAGGATTCGCTTCAAAGGATTTCGCTTGCATGAACGCAAGGCGACCTATGGTACAGCACAGCAACGCCACAGTGGCATTTAATAACGTAGATCTCGACCAGAAGTCCCCGGCGAACAACGCATCACGACCATTGCACCACACCATCTCCGCATTATGACGGCACCCGCAACGTTTCCAAGACCAACCAATAGCCGCCGCTGCCGCCCATTGCATAACATGTCTGACATTTTTTAAGGGCTGATAAGAACAACTCGACAAAACCTGCCAACCTCCCATCGCCTGACCACCCACTACCCGGTTTGCCGACGCCCAAACACAGGAGTGAGTCCGTGGACGACAGCCACTAGATTGGACAAGGCAGATCGCAATGGGTACCTCTGGTACGTCTTCGAGAGGAGCATAACAATATCCTCCCTCTAAATATGTAACGCTTGAAACGAGGCAAAGACTAGGTATTCTAGTTGCCGAATTTGTTTCATGACAGATCCGAAAATGAAACGCTGCCGATCGCGGCGCACACATTCACTCAAGGTACATACATATACATACCTACATACGTACATACCGCACGTATTCTTGTCGCATGCATACATACATACTTACATTACCCATTCACGAACTACGTGAACCATACCCTACATACCTACCCGCGCATGTACATACATATATCTCCGAGCCGTAACCCTTCCAGCATCCTCGTCGTGGTACGGCAATGTAGTGCCACGGGAGAACGAACCTGCGGCGAACTACTGGTGGCACAACATTTGAGGTCCTGTGAGGTGAACCCCATATAGATACCTACTTAGATAGGTACGTATGCTAGATTGTCTTGGGGAGACCACGCCTTCCCCTCCGCTTAGCTTGGTGATCTCGCCGATAGTCTATGCCGCTGGCTATCACCGAATATCTTGGACAATTTCCTAGTGCGCAAGCAGGTAGGGTCAAGCTCGCCCAATATCATGTGTTGATCAAGCAGGTAACGTAGCTACGCTACCAGAGGTTAGGGAGATAGCTGCAAGCCAGTGCAACTACATCGGATTGCACATGCTACACATAACCCAGAACCCACAACCACAGCCTAAAAGTAATTAGGCGTAAAAGCATCATAGCCACATTCCATTACCCACGAAGGTAGGTAGTTGACCACAGGTAATTCCAGGTACCAGGGCCACTAATTCGAATCGCGGCAGTAGAGTGAGCCATGGATGAGAAAATAACCGGGTAAGATATTGGGGGAGTTCCTCAGTAACCAGTATTAGTCATCAACACTTGTATCTTCCCTGTCAAGCTAAGTACTGTCTCAGATGTGCACAGTAGTCAGTAGGTTGAGTTGTATTGCACAAACACAACTCAAATAAGTAAGGGTCGAGAAAAGAAGAGAGCAAAAAGAAACATGTCGTGATGCATTAGCTTATAAGTAGCAAGCTCATAAGCGCTCGCTTGACAGGGGGGTAAAAGAGAAAAAAGGACCCGGGCGGAGACAAAGAAGCAAGGCCTATTTTCTTTTTCTCCTGCTGCTCTGCTGAATTTTCGCCCAATGAAGAAATACCTACAGAAAATAAAATAAATGAATAAATAGATAAATGGGTACCTACATTTATTACCTACACTCACTTCCCTACTGTGCACTTGAAGCAGAAAGTGTAACGGATAGGGTAGGTAAATCAGGTAAAGCCACGCCCAGGGCGTGATTGCAAGGATATCTGTCTCCCCCCGTCCCCCTTACGACCGACGGCAATGCAACAACAGCACATGAGAAAATAAAAATAACCCCCCAAGTCAGTCAGACGGCGAACATGGGCTCAAACCGCGGCTCTTCGGGGACGCCTGCACTGTAACAGCGGGATGTTCATGCTTCCAAAGTGCAAGCAGGGAGCAATCAACCAACCCCGACCTGCCTTACCATCCCTTGTCGTATGTAGGTGAACATGTGTAGTGCTTGTGTGTGAGAGTGTGTGGTTGGGCGCAAAGTTGGGTTTGCAGGTGTAAATTTGGCTCTCGTGTACAAGCACGGTACCGACAGGGGCAGATAAGTACACTACATAAACGAGCTCTAACAGTGCAGCTGTCCCAGCAGCGTGGGCAACCCCCTCCCCAAAAAGAAAGGAAAAAGAAGAATTGGGTGGGGGGGCGGTGTGTGTGTGGATTGCGGCTGTACCATGCTACCGTCAATAATTGACTGATTTGATTGATGTGTCTGATACTGTCAGTGGTACGAGCGGCTAGGAATTGTCAAATACCTATATTACCTACCTCCTCGTCAATCTCATGTAGGTCGCACCCAGATGCGATCACCCGCCGTGGCGTTCTGCTGCTGGGATGAGTGGTGCGGCTACTTGCATTGGTGCGAAACTGACCACCAACGTACCAGCATGAGAGAAAGGCCCGGGTAGGAGTAAGGGTAGGGTAGGTATTCTTTACTATGACTACGCTCGCTCGCTGCCTGAGCACTGTACTGTACGTATATGTGGTGAGGACAACGCGACAAGGGTAGCCGAGCTGTATCACAGCAGATAGATCTTGCGTAGCCAGGGATGTCTTCATGGAACGCTCGGCCCGTGATGAGTAGGTAGCTCCCAGATGGGAGTCCGCCGAAATCAATTAATCCAACTCAGCTGCTGTGCCCTTCTTCATTGGCATGGTGACGGGGTGTAGTAGGAAAAGGAAATGACAAATGTTGAATAAACAAGCAATACGCACACGGGTACTGAAGCATCAAGCGAGAGATCTGCTACCGCAGGGCCGCTACCTGGCTAGTATGTGCTCTTCGACGTTGCTTTAATTCAGCCTCCTTTTCCAATAGTCTGGCACCTGGGTTGCGATTGACTTTCGCGGGGCGCCGCCGCCTCGGATTTCTACTGGCTGGGGGCCTGCGAGAGGGGGAACGGAATGTTGGCTCGAGCACACGAATAGATATTGTTACGGTCCGTCGGATCCCGGCAAGATATGTCGTGTTTACACATTCCACATTCCCACAGCTAATACTGCGCATGGCGACGTTGATCTGAGACATCAGAAACTGTCTCTTGACTCAAAAAGGTTAAATTGAGTGCGAATGATGTAAACGTACCTACTGGGTACGACACATTGGTGCATATGTATGCTATAGAATGTGCCCGTTGGATGCTCCAATTGTTCCCCGTCCCCCAGCTGTCTGGTTTCTTGGGATGTGTCCTCGGTCGAATGCGGTACTCTGGAGATGCCATTTGGGTTTTGGGGTGCCAGTTGGAATCGCCGTCCAATCCATGTCCTTATCCGCTCGCTTAAGCTGGTTGGGGGTGAGGTCGCGCGGGACCCGAGCTTCGTCTCACGCTGGGCAGACACTGGCTCGACTGGGTTCCTTGGGTAGGGGCAGAGGTAGGGGTCGAGGGTGTCAAGCCCATTAGGTGAGAATAAAAGGTGAGAGGTAGGGCCAACGCTCATCGCATCCAGCTTACCTCGTGCGATACGTACACGAGGTGACACTCTTTGAAGGCCGACGCTGCTCCATCCCGTGGTGACCTGACCTGGCCTGACCTTACCTCACGTCCCGCATTGCGCATGACGGCAGTGTGCAACGTCCCTTGTCGTCTCGAGATCAGCTGTTCCATCAGCTTATCCTAGCTCATCCCAGCTCAACGCCAGTTCGGCCGGGGTAGGGAAGGGCGGAGGAAGGGACAACGGTCAAATTGGCAGCATATACCACCTACATATCAAGCCTGTTGGAGCTGGCGGCCACTGTGTCTTTGGAGTCAGCAGCCGTGACGGTATAGGCAGGTGTTTAGGCAGACTCTACGCCTCTGGCTTGTATACACCACTGACCAGATACACACACACACGTTAACCCGGACCAGCCAATCCATGCCATCCATCCCCTTCCCATCCCTCCATCGTCCATCCACTGGTAGCTTACCCAAGGTGTCGGGTCCGATCGCTAGGGAATTCATGTGCGTCATTTCAACCCGAGCCGGGCGATCAACGTGCGAGCCATCCCCTTTCCGTGCGCTGAGTGGTCGAGGCTAAACTGCGCCGCGGGCCTGGCTTGCATCCATGCTTGGCCGCTGCTGGGCCAATCAGTATCGGCTTATAGCCTGAAATGGTAATTGCTGCTATTCCTGCCACTGCGGCCTGGCAGCCAATAACCTGCTGGAGCAGCAATCGCCTCACCTACCCTCCTCCCCTTCCTCGCCTCGCCGTCTCTAGCTTACTTCATTAATGGATCTCCTTATGATGATGAACGTGTGTTTCTGACGACCGACAGACTTGCCACTGGATACGATTGGAATAACGTATGAGAATGTGTACCCTTGCGCCCCTTGCCTGCTTGGCCTCCTTCCCTGAATGGGCAAATTTCATTTAACCACCCCAGAGGCGGACCGCGCCCTGCTCCATACCGAGAAATATAGACAGTGTGTAACTATGCCCAAGCCATTGACCAGTGGTGAAAAGGCACCATCAAATGGGACCCCTATTGCATTAAGAGTAACTCGTTCTCAAATTAGAAATACGTGTAGGTACCTACATCCTAATGACCAGGTAGGTGGCTTCGGGGAACCAGGTCGAGCGCTTCCTGACGAGTGGTGTAGCATACAGCATGATGTCTATGCCGACTGGTTACATTGGGGCAGGTGTTTGCGAAAGATCTCTGCTTCTATCCAAGCACGTTTTCGACGCCACGTGAGGGGTACGTCAATGGACGCGAGGGTAGTGTTTTTCACTTGTGGGCGACGATGGATGGTATTACCCTCATCCTTTTGCTTCTTTCTTGGCGTTTTCATTGTCATCGTCATCATCAGAAACTGGTATTCTACGTGCTAGCAGATTGCTCCATTGCCAGGAATGAGGGATCCAGACCTGGCACGCGGTTGACATGAGCGGGCCGCACAATAATGGCCGGGTTGGGTAGATCTTTGGTATCCTTGGTGTGTGCAAGGTCAATGATCATAGTTAGCCCTGCCTAAGAGGGTTCGCAGAGCGAGGAGGGGGCGACAAGGCATGAAGCAACATTGGAAGGGCGGCATGCAAACGACTTGCTCTACCAAAATACCGGGAGCGAACGCGCTGGTCATTTATCCTTGCAGTAGTTATAGATGGTGTAGAGGGCCGGTACAAGTAAGCTGAAGAGTTACGACACGCCTTTTCTACACCCTGGGCCGAGTCAGAGTGGCTTGCTTTTTCCGATTGGGCAGCAACTTGATTGGTGAAGCAGCTTCTATCTTTTTGTGGAATCCGCTGCGTCAAACGAAATGTCCAATCAGCCAGGTACCGCAACGTACCAGATCAGAATGTACATCTCATGCTCGAACCCCCGGGTCGCGTGCTTCAAGTGCTGAATACCTACGTTGCATAAACCTCGTTCCTGCGCTTCAATGTGCAAAGGCGGTCTTGCGGCAATTCAGATTGATGCCCAACTGGCGATGGCATGGAAACAGTAGGAACAAGGGGAAGAGAGGATCCCCGTAGATCCAAGCCCCCAGGCAGTAGTGTGCCTACTCTGTGTGTACTCGGTACTGTGGATAGGTAAAGGGTAAAGCTTGGGTTCCCGGCTATTAAGTCCCCGACGAGGACCCAGCTGCGTGGGAGAAGGCTGAGGCAATCCTAGTCGTTTGGAGACATACATATACATAGCACATAGTAGACAAGCCAACCCAAGCAGGGGTGCCGACTAGGGATGGCAATGAGATTGAGGGTTCTTGTACCTGACCGTGGGGACTGTTGTGTCATATAGTTGCGCTAGCGTAGTTGATGAGGAAGGCTGATCCAAGATAACTACGTAATTGTTCTATTAATTGGGCATCCGTACCCTAGATTAATAGACGATGACCGGTCTGGCCATGAACTGTGGGCTGTGCGTGGTTTCCTGGACTTGAGCAATCACGGGTTTCAATGAGCTGTTCTGTACATACAGGCATCAGAACGAAATACTCCTCAGACGCCATCGCTAGCGCTACAACCCAACCTTTGTTGCCCAGGGACGATGCTAACTCGCCAAGGCCAGGGGGTTGGTTGGCCTTCATGGTCAACCACCACTCTGGGCCATCGTTCTAATGAAGCCCTACCAAACATCTCCTTATCCCTGTCTTCTAAGCAGCTCCTTGAGACGACCATGAGAGAGCATAACGTTTGAATAATTTTAATTGCCAAAATTAGCTCGCGAGAGCGCAAACAGTCTCTTCTGTTGCTTCCGTCTATGATGCTTTTTCCCTTTTCCCTCATTACCTCTAAAGTCAGGCTTGGGTATCCTCAAACTCCATTCGTACAGCCATACGCCTCCACTCTATGTTTCAACCCATGTCCTTGCTCGATGCTTTGTCCTTTGCATAGCTGCGTCTATCATTCGCCAGTTCCCAATGTCTGACATGCTCCAACACCCCTAGCCCGCCATCTCTGTGGCCCTGCTGAGTCCCAATGCCCCAAAAACTGAGTAAAATGATACATTGGCAAAAAAGTACAATCCGGAACGGGGGGTAGATCGCCACCCACGATGCCACGCCGGCACCCACAACTCCTGATGCCTGAAAACTTTTGTAGCGGTGTAATGGCAACCGACAGTCTCCAGTCCGACGATGAGTGGCGGCCTAGCTAAGTCTACACAGACCATTACACGCCTGGTGAAACGCCTATCAATGTATATAGTGCTACAATGATTAATCCCTGCTATTCGTCTGCCACCTGTAAACCGTGATTTATTGTTGTCCGAGGTTAGGCAGACCCCACATCCTATCGAGACCCATGATGAGAAGAATGGCCGACCCCAGACGGGTTAGAGACAGATGAGCTGGCTTCGTTGCGACTATTCTCGTATACGTCGAGGCATTGCCCAAGGACTGAGTAACCAGTTAATATCTTGTAGATCAAGTTAAGAAAGGAGATTCATCTTAAGGGACCTACTATCAATTATGTGTTCTTCCCACACGCCACACTCGTAGTCAACCAAACCGTGTCGCTCGATACCGTTGCATAGTCGTATAATATCCTGGCCCATCTTCCGTAGATACTCTTCGCCGACCAGACTTTGACCTCTTTGCAGGGCTTGGCCCGATTCAACCATGTCTCTCTGCTTCTGCAATAGTGAAAGCCAGGCGTGGTTAAAATCTCGCCAGAGTTTGACTCGGTCTTGGTAGAGAGATTCGTCATCTCCAGTAAGGCCTAGAGTCAGCTATTAGTCGTAGAAAGGTAGACTGGGGGGTACCAACGCGAACCTAATTCTACCACTTTGGATAGAAGCCACTCCGAAACCCCTAGCAGCGATTCTGCGGCCGTTTGTAGCACACCGTTTTGAATGCCCGTGAACACTTCCCTTAGGGCACCTTGGTATTGCTCGTAGGCCTGACCCATGGCCGTTTCAGCTGCAGCTGTAGGTGCATTTGCGGTAGTGGCGTATTCCTGGTCCTCGACCACCTGCTCAGACGCCCCTGCCTGTGCCATTCCGCTCATTGATGGCATGTTACCACCATAAGTCTGTTGAAGCATCCGCTGATCCGCAGGGTTCTGTTGATATACGCCCGATGTGCTTGAGGATCCCGTCTGCGATTGTAGGCTGGCTGCCGTAGCTGCGTTGGTAGGCTCGCTCGGGAAATATGGACCGGCAACATCTGACGGCATCATCTGCAAACCTGCAGCTTGCCGTGACGGGAACTGTTGACTTGTATCATAAACGGTGCTCTGTGTACCAGCTGGCGATACGTTATATAGCATAGATGTATTATATGTGCTATAGCCTTGCGTTTGCCTGCTGTCTTGTGTATAATCGGTCGGGTACGCTATTGTATTTTGTGGTATTGAATGGGAGAATGCTGCCGCAGGCTCCTGGTAGTACCCGCTGTACGACGTCGTGGCGGCCATACTTCGAGAGCCTGGAGGGTCAGCTTGAACAGGGGCAGGCCGATACCTATCTAAACCCCCAGTACCATACGACCTACGCGATGCATTGGGATCGTGAAGAGTATGTCTTGGGTTGGAAGAACTAGCGGCCTGTTCCTGCCTACGACGTCGAGCGTTATCATCCATGCCCTGGAAAATGATGTTTGAAATTGGTTGGAACGGTGATCCCAGCCGATGCGTCCCCGGCAACGGAGGTGGCTGGGCGTAAAGGGCAGCCAGTTTGCCTTGCGCTGGCCGCGTCGAGAATCGACCGGCCCACAACCTCTCTAGTGAGAGAGCACTTAGGAGGATGGCGGTAGATGAGAGAGCGGCTTGAGACTCGTGAGGAAGCGGTGTAGTCGATAGTGAGAAGAAAGTTAGGGGTTGCAGGGAGGGGTTCCTGTACTGAGGAATGAAGTCTCGAGGTACGCCAAAGGAGCCAGAACGGGAATCGCTGGCTGAAAGAACTGACCCGCAAGATTGAACGACGGATGAGCGAGTAGATGGGGTAATAATGTATGGTGTTTCGGATGTGATGGGACGACGCGGGAGTGCGAAATTGCGTTGGAGGGGAAGGGTTGCGAAAACGAAAGCTGGAGCTTGATAGGCCTCGAGAGGGAAGGCCAAAGGAACCGTATCAAGGTTTGGATGCAAAGCACACCCAATTATATGTGAGTGCCGTGCAAGAAGGTGCCGAGCGGTATGCCTCGGCTGTCTCTGTCGTATAATGAATGAATGACGACGACAACAGCACCAGCCCAACAAGAACGAAACAACAACACGATGCCGATAGCAGCGACAACAATAACACGGCGCAAGCCGTCAGGTATCAATCGCGCCTGTCGATTTACACGCGCTAAACTCCCTAACCCTGCCGCGAAAAGGCTGATGCGATATGATGGGCTTGCTCAACGGTTGCAGCCAAAGATTGCCGGGAAGACCCTGCCAGCACCACAATGACTGGCTAAGCCAACCAACGATGACCCTGCTTTTTGCGATGGAGTGGTAAGCCGCCCTATTATAGGTCGAACAAAGATCGAAGAATGTTCAACATATAAGTGATACGAACTTGCTGCAATTCGACAGCCGAATCAATTATTGGTCGGGCGTATCTGGCGTCTTTTGTCGCAAACTTGATAGTTCACACCTTATAAGCCACGACGATGTCGTTCCCAATGTATCGAAAGCGTCGATATATAACAAATAGAGTTGGGTTGGCGAGTGAGTGAGAGAGCGAGCGAGAGAGAGAGATTGCAGGTCAAAGGTTTGTTTGTATAAGCTTTGACACAACGTTCGAAGGGCAAGGTATTATAAGAAAACTCGACTTAGCACTTGCTGCTTTTCGTACTGTAACCATGAGGAGCAGCAAACGCGGACGGCACCTGGTCTAAGTAAGGCAGGGCACCTGGAGATATAATAAGAAACAGGGCGGGTAGCATACGGAAGATTTTCACGATTGGGGGATATTAGCACACGCTTCATAAGTACCTTCTACCTGGGCCTGACGATTGGCATTATCAGGCACGTTCTAAGAAGCAGGGTTAGAGAAACGGCGAGCTAGTCTCAGCTGTGGAGAAGGGAAAGCCTTGAAGAATGCTCTCTATGCTCGCACGAACCCTCTCTCTTACCTAGATGACCTACCTACGAGCTGGAGCTGGAGCCGGAGCTGGAGCTGAAGCTTACGGCGAGTTGCCTGACTTGACTGACAGCACGGAGCATGGAGCATGGAGCAAGTGTACTTAGCAACAGCAGTACTGATACTACCACCTACATAGTAGAGTAGAAGTAGACACAGGCGGGCACCGGTAGGTGGGTGACTTCGGTACCAGTCACGTAGCACCAGGCACAGAGCGCGGGAAACAAGGGTCCCGAGGGAGCATGGGAAATTATGGAAGGGGTGGACCGACAGTATGAGCATTGGACAGCAAGCAAGGCAAGCAAAGCAAGGCCTCGACGATGACAGAAGACGGTAGTGTAGGTAGCGTATCAAGGCATTTGGCATCGGCACCAACGCCTTGGCCGAGCAGCATCGTGGTGCAGACCAGGGCCTGAGATGGGGCTTGCTGCTAACGAGCTTGCTAACTACCCTAGGTGGGACAATGTTGCAGGTCATTTATTTCGAGGAGATCTGCGTGAGTGTCCACACAATACCTAAACAATGAGGCGTGTAATGGGATGACGGGATGACGCCGGGGCGTGCGTGTATTGTGGCTGGCGTACCAGTACTAGTAGCATGTACCGCGCGGTACGTACGGGCAGAGTACGGGCTAGGATCCTTGACACGCTCATGTCATGATATTATAGTCGGTCGCTCCATATATATCGCAAGAGGGCTGACATTGGGATGGCCAGGTTAGTGGGTAGTATACCTCCCTACCTACATGAATGTATACTGTATGGGGGGTTGAGGCAGGGGTTTGTAGAGTAGGCGACCTGGGCAGCCGAATAGATCCTCAGATGGTACTGTAAGCGCACATAGCAGATAATAGCAATAGTGATGATGATAATAATGATCATGATATTGATCAAAATTAGGGACGATAGCTAGGTAGAGATGATTGTAAAGAAAAAGCATGGGGAATGCTACGTGGGTGTATATGCTACTACCTACCTACTAAGTACCTAATTACCTGGGAACCTTATAAAACCAGCTATGCTACCTACCTATCAATGCACTAACATCTTGTTGAGTACATAAGGTAATAAGAAGATATAGGTCAACAGTGTTACCGGTAGCCTTGACATTGGCATTGGGTGTATAGGTAATAAGTTAATATATATAACTGATGGTACCAAAGGTAATCGTGATAAAACAAGGCTTAACAATGGTTATAATATCTGTATTTTACTCCATGTATGAAGTAAGTTGCGTGGTTCAATCATTGATGTTACCCTTGTATTTATTGGTAGATACAGTACCCAGCTACCGAGTAGACGGTACCTCATTTCTAGCGACACTTCTACGAAGGAAGAGGTATCTGCTACCCATATGTAGCCACAGTCCAAGGTACAGTACGTCAGGTACGGGCAGAGGTAACAATGGACAGTACCACAGCAGTTATGAGTGAGGCTCGCTAGATGCAGGTGCAGGTGCAGATGCAGCTAGTGTAGTCCGCTTTGCCGTACAAGAGATCGATTTGATGGGCAAGTCCTGGTGCAGATCTACCTACATACATACCTACCTAGGTAGTACATACCTACTTACTTAGAGGTACCTAGAGATAGGTAGGCAGTGTCGTAGTTCCATGGGTGGGCTTCCGTGGAACAACATATTGATGTGACGACAAACGACAACCCTACCAGCGTGAAGCTAATGTCGAGTCTTCTTCGCTCAGCCCTAGAGAGGGCGAGAGAAGCATTCTAGAAATCTCCAAGGTTGCTCGCTCAGTCCCTCGCTTGCGCCTTTGCTGCTGCTGGCACGTTGCGACGCTGCTACGCTGCTACGCTGATGCATTGATCATTGATGCGTGCGTGAGAGAGCGTTGGCGGGCTTCTCCCCCCCCTCCCTTCATCCCCCGGCTGGTTTACAGTTATAGCGTAGCGTGTTCAACGTCAAACGCAAATGCTCTCGGCAGACTGTGGAGGTCCGGGTTGTACATTGGTAAATAGTAATACAACCCAGTGACACAGGACCAATTTCCTTTTTTTTTCTTCTGTGCGCAGAACAATGTCTCGTGTGGCTGCTAATATTGCATATTAATGCGCAAACAGAGCGAGCATACTATTTATTACCTTGGAGTTGGTAGCTGGGGCAGGCTGACATGACAGTACGCCAGCTGGAGCGGGCATTAAAGGTTGTCTCAGGCAGGCCTGTTCTCTTGTGTTACCGGGACCTCTGCTTGTTTGGTATTTGATCTGGCCTGTCAAGACCATTGTTTCGTCGAGAGGCATTGGCCCATTGCAGCCCATTGCAAGTGAGTCTCTGATGGTGGTGAACGCCGCTGTGTTTGAAGATCCATGGATGCGGTGCTTGATAGTGGCAGGCTGTGCTCCACGTAAACACGGTACGTGCGCAAGCAGCATTGTATCATCCAGCAATGTTACCTATAGCGCTGGTGCATGCATGCATGCTGCCTGTCGCCTGTATACATGCGGTAGGAATACGCGGCGGGCTATGTTCGTTGTTGACAACGCCATGGTCTGCGTCCCAAGGTCTGCAGTCTAGAAAGACTCGAGGAGCCTTTGCCGGTTCGTTTACCTAGCTCACCCTCGTCATCGCCTCAACCCCCACCCTCGCCTCGTCTCGCCTCTTGCTTGCATCTTGCACATTGTAGGTATACCCGATGCTATGGGTGTGATTGACATTGGAATCAGCTTATTTCCTTGGTAGGAAAGTATTAGCTCATACCACTTAAGCTTTTGGGCATATTTTCCACCTTGGTCACCCCTGATGTGGCGTGTACGGCATACACTCCATAGGTTATAGCTATACCATCACATTAGATTCATATATAATGAGTGGGTAGCTATGTACCGGTAGGTAGGAATGTAGCGTGGTTATGTTGCATTAAACCCTTGGGACGAAGCTATCTACCTAGGTAGATAGTATGTGGGTTAGACTCAGTGGATAAGCGCCTTACCATACCTGACCAGATCTGATATGATATGCTTGCCTGTACCATGCAACAGGCAAGCCGACCTGGGTATCCAGACAGTTATACTACGTACACCCACCTATACACAGACACTCACGCGACTGTGAGCTGTATCTGCTATAGGTATGTCATATGTGAATACCGATATATTAACCTGATGGCGTGCGGAACACATCAACGAGCACATGCTATGATTCACCCAGAGCACTCGTTTGGGCTAAACTACCACTACCACTCTTCCAGCAACAAGCTTCACTTACAAGCTTTTTATTTTGGTGACTTGAGAGAAATTGTGGGTTACAATGCCTACCTACCTACCTGGGCAGCTCAACCTGGATAAGAAGGATGGTCAGCAACATCTCGTATAGGTATCCAGCTAGCCGGGCCTCAGATTGCTGCAAACTCATACAAAGTACTTGCCTATATCGCTAGGTCAACCTAGGTAGGTAGGTAGATATTCTATCAGAGTCCACCATCGTCGCATTGCCGCATACTTACATACGGGCTCCCTACTTGGTAGGTTGAGTTCGCTGGATGAAACGACGCGTCTCTTGCTACTCGTTAGCGCCTCATTCGACGTCCTCCACCTCGGAGACCAACAATTTCAATTTCGGCTGAGTCCGGCGCCCTCGGTTCCCCATCGCACGTAAGCAGCAAATTTGGGCAAACTTGTCTCCTGCTTCATCAAACAGGCACAAGGCGCGGTATGGAATGGAAGGCAGCTACACGTAATTCGCCAATGATCATTTCCTCGACGTTCTTGCGACTAGTACTAGTCTCGTTCGCCTCACTGTTAGTCGTCACTCAGATCTCCACCAGCTGAATGAGTACCTGTGCAAGTAAAGTGTCTAATCCCTCCTCCCCTCCCTCCTTCACAAGAGAAAAAAAAACGAAAAAAAAAACGAAAAACACAAAAAAACAAAAACGAGATACAGCCCAACCTGGCTGGGACAATCAAGTAAGTACTCGCTCTATGTATTCTGGTCTGGCGTCGAAAAGGAGCTGATGTAACTGTAGGTAGCAACTACGACAATTACATGTATGTAGAGAGTATGAAGACTCCCCGAATAGCCAGTGTCTGCCAGTGGTAGTCAAACCCGAGAACGGACTGAAACAAACTAAGCCGCTCTGGGCCGGCGCTATGTCATAGTCGATCCTAGAGCTTCTGATCTAGCCATACTGAATGATGCATCAAATTTTCGTCGACCATCAACATCATGCCATTATTTCAACCTAGTTTGCCTGAGCACGACACCTGATCAGTGCCCAGATAGCTGGCTTCATCCTAGGATGGATATCGAAAATATACACCTGGAGTGGCTAGGAAGTTCTTGCGCATGATCTGATCATGAGAACACAAAGCCTTCTATTTTGCATCGGGAAAAACATAACAAATTTGAGTCTTGTGGGCCCTATTTTCTGTGAGCTTGTAATGAATAGTGAGGTTTTCGTCTGAAAATTGGGTATACGAGGAGCAGCCTGTGGCCGTGCCAGCCGTCATCCGAGAGACCCCAATATGGTCACTGGCGAGACTGGCTCCGCTTCCAAGTTGCTGGGGATAAATGCGATCAGATACTCGTCAAGTAGCTTTTGAAGTTTCTCGTTGGCAGATGCAACAGCCGGTACTCACCTCTCCAACAAGGTCAGGATTTCGGGACTACACCAATAATTTGCCCATGACCCCAGCGCATCTGCCTTCGCCGCCGATTAGTGGTTCTAACCAGTTTCTAGAAGCCGCATGACAGGGAGCTATACTAAATGCTTGACCCCTGCAGACCGTTATGCAGGGATGGTAACAGAATGGCTGTTTTGCCTGTGCCAGAAACCACATGATTCTGAAGGGCATTCAACCTCGGGAAGGGTTATATCTCCTTGGGTAGTTCCTACTGGCGGTGGCCGATCAAGAGTAGGCACTCTCTTGAGCTTGGCAGAAGTTACACCTTATTTGTATGCATTTTGACCGTCTTCTTTCATACTCTATGCATGATCAAGTGATTACTAGTTACCACTGGTCTCGGCAGCAACTACTTGGTGCTCAACGCCACCGACGATGTGAGGGGTCCATGCAGATTAGCATCATGGCCCTCCCATGAGTGATGTTTAAAGAATCTAAAAAAGGCTAACTACCAAAGCTTTTTCCCCATGAAACAATGTGCGCTAGCTACTGACAACAAGTGGCGTCATCAACTCTGTCTAGCATGGATGTTTAATCATCTGCTGTTTGGCATCTCAAGCCCGAGATCAGCAGGATATCGACGTGAGTGACATCAACCTTTTTTTTTTTTTTTTTTTCCAATAAGTAGCACTACTTGGCAGATGCGAGGGTACGTACCTGCCAAGGATCATAGCAAAACGATCTTATGCCGCATTCTATTACTTGTTCCTGCGTCGTATCTGTTACCTGGTGCTCGGATGCAATGCAACCCCCCAGGGTGACAGGCGCAACAAAGTAAACTGGGAATGAACAGCAGGATTGGTCGATTGGTTCTCGATGTTTCAAGCTCTGTTCAGCCTTGTCCGGAACAGACATGATGCGGACAATAACAAAACAATTAGCGCAGGTATGATTTAAGATTGCAGATCTCAGAAATGAGGCTGCATGACATTCCTCGTTTTCTCGTGGCAATGGCGTATGAGCGGCGGCCACACCATTCTCTTGCTAGTCCAGCATTAGCTTAGAAGCCATCTACGAGACTACGACGTAGTAATTTCAGGGGACAGCGCGCTTAGTCTCCACCCGCGCTCACTTAGATTGATTTCACCATCTGTGCAACGGCATTTCTACCGGCAACGGACTGAGCTACAACCTACAACGTACACTAGATCAGTAAGTATATGTGTGAAGTAAGTAGTACGCCATCATACGTGCCGCCTGACGGCGCCAGCCTAGTTGTCAAGATCGAACGAGTTTAGAGGCATCTGGGCTGACCTGAGTATGCCCTGAATAGCGGAACATATATGTAGCTAGGTTAGGGCATACATACACATAAAAATGTCCATGGCCATACTAATATATCGAAGTTGCCAATTCTCGACTACCCAAGACTATCCAAGACCACCGTAGCTGGGGAAGATGGAACTTACGATTCAGATTCCAAGTAGAGAATGTGAATCCCTAATCAGAACCCGTATTAAGCACAGGATGGTTCATCAGTTGACGAGCGCGCTTGGACATTAGGCCGGAATAGGAAGTCTTCGAGAATCTTTTCCTTCACAGCCACGTGTCGCATACCCAGCCTGAACTGGGTCCAGCCTTTCTGAGGGTTTACCTATCTATCCATATTATACACCACTCTACCTCCTTAAACCAGGCGTGTCCCTGCTGCCGAAGTGTCAGACGGCAATTAGCCGGATACCTGAACGACGCGGCATTGTCCAACCGGTCATCTATTACCAATCGGCCGTTGACGTCTCTTGATCCCACTTATTAGGTAAGCCCATACGCTCTATGTATATACATATGGAGTAGGTAATAGGATAGGTACCCTCTCGCATTGACAAGTGATAAGCCCCCAGTCAAAGGAAGAGAAAACACAGCAAAAAATTAGGAAAAAAAGATCCTACTTATAGCCCATGTTCCGGCAGTCCCGATTCCATCCCAAGCTACTTGCTACAGTCACTCGTGCACGATGAACTGAGCACCAGCTAATGCAGCGCAACACAACGCAAGCTACCTAATGTATGTAACCTCAGGACGTATGTGGTATGCACACATACCTACACTAAGGTGTAGGTGCAGGTTTCAGCAGAAGTTCCCCCGTGTCGCATGAAGAATCTGCTGTTCCTGGCTACACAATCTGAAATGAAACGTCTGAGCTGCTACACGATCTAGCTAAATAAGCAATTCGCATGTGCACCAATGCTACCATCCATTCATCCATTCATCCGCCATCTTACATGCCCTATGGGTAGTGCTCCCTCCGGGGGTTTTTCGGGCACTAGGCCATGCGGAATTACCAAGCAACTGTCTATCCCACACGCATCGTAACCTGGAAGTACCTTAACAGGAGGCAAGTAAGCCAGTAAGTAGGTAAACAATACCTATTTAAGAAAATACCTACATAGGTAATCGGTAAGTTGTGGTGGTGTACACTACACACATATACGTACATACATACGCACGTACATAATGCGAACAACTGCTACTACCCAAGGGTCCGAGCGAAAGTTAAAGATCAGGTTTGTGCAACAAACCTTTCTACAGACGTAAATATCAAGTCACTGGCTTCTATTCTTCGTCCTAGCGTTCTTTCTTTACTTGCTTGTCCATAGTGTAGCGGTAGTAAGTATGAAATAAACAAGGCGTGTAATTAGTATTGATAGGTATTATGCCTGAGACCTATAATATGAGGTCCCATTGGACAGTAAAACCCTCACATAAGTATACTTATTTACGCAGGAGCACAGTATGGCATACTATTTATCGCTTCTTGTACATATACGCCTGGGGATGATGTTACATATGGGCACAGTGGAAATTGTCGTGCTTTGTTTTCTTCCTCCGGAATTACTTGCGCCTTACCCTTTCCCTCTCAGCCTAGGTAGATATCTGGGACGGTAGGATGTCGCATCGGAGATCGCTCGTCAGATTGTACTAGCATGGCTCAATTGTGTCATGATTGCTCTTACGATTTGGGCCCCCGTGAGCGGTTTACCTACTGGGTCCCGGTCAGTACCGGGCAATCGCGTCATTACCCACATGCGTTGACGCTGGGGAAGATGTCGGACTACAAACTCGAGAGAGCTAAGCTGTAATTGACCTTGGTAAAGCGCCTAGCTATCCAAGTAAAGTACCTGAAACGTGACGGCCGCTCTATCTCGGGATGACTCGCCTCGCAATCGCCTAGTGGAGGCCCACGAGGTCGCCAAGACGGCCACCTCCACAGACTAGGCAGGCATTAGGTGGCATGGCCGAGTTTTATGGTGTATGGGCTCGTGATTCACCCTTTACCATGCTTGAAAATGAACCGATTTCAGCAGAAAGCTCATCAAACTGTGCTTAAAAGAGCATTGGATAAAGATTTTCGCTCTAGTTCAAGGTGCTAATCACCTGGGGCGGGGACGCCGATACAGGCTAGGAAGCTGAGCAACGCGGCCGATTGCTTCATGATTACTGGAAACTGGCACAAGCCAGAATCTGTCACGAACACAACTCGGTCGTTTCGGCTTCGTAATGACTGTGCCTGGTATAGGGACACCTCGTGCAAAGTGTTTGATGGTCTTCGAATAGCCCAGACATGATAAGAGGTACATTAATACAATTTTGTACATTTGGATCATCTCACAGGATGCGGTTTGAGATGCTCTAGAGTTGATCGGTCCACGTGTCCTGGAATGTTGACAACGAGGAGGATAGGAGCCAAAGCACACATACACGGAGAGCCCAGTCCCTTGGCTGATTCCCAGCACAGAAATAAACGATGACAGCCGTTCTATCGCTTGACCCATGTAGGACTCTTTCTTGCTTTGAGATGACCTGCCTTCTTCCTTTCCACGCTTCTTGGATCTCGGGTAATACAACCGGCTAAAAACAAGTGTCAAAGTCTGGCTTCGTGTGTTAATCTCGGTGTGGACTGATGTGGTCTTACCTCGTCTAAGTGGCGTCTTCAACGGTGGTTCTTGGACAACGAGTGCTTTGGCAATGGCCATAGCCAACGCTTCTGCCTGCCCAGTGGAACCACCACCATCTACCAATGCCCAGACGTTGTACTTGTCTTGTCTGTCTGTAGTTTTTAATCCCCAGAGAGCACTCTCGCGATCATGAATTCGGCCAAACGCCTCGTTCATAGGCTTGCCATTGATCAAAACTTCACCAGTCCCCTCAACAAGCCAAGCTCGTGCAACCGAAGTCTTCCGCTTCCCTACGCCATGTGATCTACCAAATTTGTCCACCGGCATCGGTTTGGGACGGTTGAGAAAGATATTAATATCTCGCCGGAACGGTCGGAGACCGGTTTTTACTTCTTCGGGCATCAGCTCTGGGTGTATCTGATTTAATCTCTTCGCTAGACCGAGGCAAGCTGCGTAATCCCTTGCCTTGACATGCTCGCCAAGTGCTATCCGGTATTGTTCCTTCGTCTTCCAAGCTACTCGTTCAACCTGACTCGGGTGTAGCATTGGTAGGCGTGCATATTTGCGGGCAAGATCTTGCACATGGACAAAGCTGTCGTTGAATTGAGGGTGACGCGAGAAGTAGGAAGGCGAAACAGGCATGGGGCGCGCATATGTAGCTATGACCTCCTGATTCTTTGTGTCTAGTGCATCGAGCGCACTCATGAGGGCCGAATCATCTTGTTGGCGAGAGGCCGAAGTCGCAATAGCTCGCTTCGTTATGGCGGTGTCCGCTGGCTGTGTAGAGCTGAGTGACGGCCATTGTTTCGGAGCCGATACAGCAGAGGTCCTCAAACAGCGTATACCGTAACGCAGGGAAGCCATAATCGCTATCTTGTCATGACCAGCTATGTTTTAGTGTCGGAGAGCCGAGGGCTGTGAGCAGCAGGCCGGCGGTACAGCTCCCAGTGTTCGTGATGCGCTCTGAAGTTTTCCTTGAGAACGTGCAATCTGATTGGGGCCAAGTCGGTTGCGAGTGGAGCCTCGCCTACCAAGCCAGACTCTTCAGACTCTTCGGGTATCAGCCTCGCAATTAAGATACGCCGAAGTGCCGAAAGCGCCAAGGCCAGGGGTCGGAAGGCCACCTGGAAGGGCACCTGGACGGGCTGCTAGCCCAGTTAGGGTAAAGGTGGGCAGGTACATTGCTGTTGCCCCGCCTCCCCAAGAAATTTCAAAATGAAAGCGAAAAAAACTACAGTGGCTCAGGGAGTGGCCACAACTGCACCTTCTCTCATCTTCTCTTCCCCTCCCAACTTTTCCCAGCACCAGGCTTCACAGTCAACCATGGCGCCTTTCGGAAAGATCTTCACCAGGGAGGTAAGCAGCGGCAGCAAGAATAGCATTCCTTTGTATTTTGTTTGCTGCGAATTGCTGCTCTATTGATGCGAGTGAGCTGACAGCAAGCTCTGCCCTACAGCTCAACCCCCGCACCACCGCCATCCTCGCGGTTGCGAAGGCTAATGGCCTCGAACTCGAGGTCGTCGAGGTCGATCCCGCAAAGCCCTCTGATGAGCTCCTGAAGGCCAACAAGCTCGGCAAGGTCCCTACCTTCATCGGCAGCGATGGCTACGTTCTCTCCGAGACTATTGCCATCAACATCTACAGTAAGGACGACTCCTGTTTCATGTCTCTACTGCACCTCGCCCCAGCTTCCCTCAGCACCTGATGTGATGACCTAGACCATTTTTCTAACAGTTATCCCTGACTGAATCATGTTTTGTTGATATCGTTCTACTTTCTGATCCCATGTGCTTGTCTCACCTCGAAACTTAATTGCTCAAGTCTAGAAGTTGCAGCTGCTAACGTGAACTCCAGTCACTTCTCAGAATGAGAAGACCACCCTTCTCGGCAAGACCAAGCAGGAGTAAGTTCATCAAACCATTTCCAGCCTAAGCGGCACCCACTAATATGGTCTAAAGCTATGCCTCAATTCTGAAGTGGATGTCGTTCTTCAACAGCGAGCTCCTTCCCAACTTGGGTGCTTGGTACCGCCCTCTCTTGGGCCTGGACCCCTACAACAAGAAGAACATCGATGAAGCTATTAAGGCCTCGAGCAAGGCTCTCTCTATCGTCGAGGAGCACCTTCTCCACAACACGTTCCTCGTTGGCGAGCGTCTCACACTCGCTGATCTCTTTGCTACTAGCATCGTCTCGCGTGGCTTCCAGTTTTTCTTCGACAAGGACTGGCGCGCTGAGAATCCTAACATCACTCGATGGTATGGAACTGTCTACAACCAGCCCATCTACCTCGACGTTTCTAAGCCTTTGGAATTCCTCGACAAGCCCAAGCTAGTCAACATCCCCCCCAAGAAGGCCGAGCAGCCCAAGGCTAAGAAGGCCGAGCAAGCTAAAGCCCAGCCTAAAGCCGCCCCAGCTGCAGCAGCAGCGGAGGAGGAGCCTGCTCCCGCTCCCAAGCCCAAGCACCCCATTGACCTTCTCCCCAGATCAGAGTACCCTCTCGATGAGTGGAAACGATTCTACTCCAACAACCCTCCTGCTGAGGCTATGGAGTACTTCTGGAAGACTGTTCCTTTCACCGATTACTCTATCTGGCAGGTAGACTACAAATACAATGACGAGCTAAGGCTGGTCTTCATGTCCAACAACCTGATTGGTGGTTTTAACAACCGTCTAGAGGCTTCCCGCAAGTACCTGTTTGGCGCAGCCAACGTTTATGGCGAGAACCACGATTCGGTTATCTCGGGTGCCTTCGTTATCCGAGGTGACGAATATCTACCCGTATTTGATGTCGCTCCCGACTATGAGAGTTACGACTTCAAGAAGCTAGACCCCAACAACCCCGAGGATCGGGCTATTGTTGAGTCACGATGGAAGATGGACAAGCCTGTCACCGTTGGTGACAAAGAATACAAGTATGCTGACGGAAAGGTCTTCAAATAATCGATGACTCAGCCTAGGTGACATGATTACGCGTTGATGAATTTATGTCCAATGGGTATGGAAAAGGGATGGATGAAACGGGAGGGGAGTGATGGATGATGACCTATCGCTGTCTAGCTATACCTCTGTGAATGAAAAAATAGTAAAACTTGTGATACCAAGCCACCGCTGCCCCTTTCGTTTTGCGCTCCGCGTGACCCTGTGACAGCACTGAGCCTGGCATAAAACTCAGTACTCGAGCTAATATACACATCTTCAGCACAGATAGTTGCAATGTTGTGCTAATCTATATCGATGGGTTGTTTAGATTAGCTTGCTTAGAGGGGAGTTCATCGCAGGTATTCGATTATTAGACCTGAGCTACTGGGAGGCGAAGTTACTGATAAATGAGCATGGACAGCTACTATGTCGGTTGGATGATTTCATATCGTGCTTGATGCTAGGCATACTTAGGAGGGTCAACATTCACATGTTTTGTAAGCAATCCTAGCGAGCCCCCCTCCCTTTTCCCCTCTGTCTTTCTTCGCGCAAGATGTGAGTCTAGACGTGTGTATGATGTTACATACACAGGTTGCCTAGTTCTCAGTTTGAAGGAGGACCTTTGAATGCGAAGACTATAGTACCTTCATTTCAGTATCTACATACCAGTCAAGGTTCATTGAGCGTAGGGTGAAATTGTCATTGACATCCTGATAAAGGATACAGTACCTCTTTCTCCTAGAATAAAGGGGCGATAACCCCCATTGCGTCTTCGCCTCTTAGGTGAAAGAACATCGAGCATATTAAAGGAGCCGTTGGGGAACGTGCGTGGGAGAAACCACAGTCTACTCAGTGAACTCGGAGAATTCATATTGGTTTCGCTTAAGCACACCCAGCAACGCCGTCACGAACGTGCATCTATATTCCCAAAACAACACATATATCATATATTGTCCTCAAACATACCTACAAGTAACATTTATATACCATGGCGCTCAATCATTCAAAACGCCACGACGGAGCACCCAAGAAAGGCCCAAGCCCGAAGGCCAAGGATGAAGAGGTTAGCCTTACCTTTGGTGACTCGAAGAATGAACCACCATGTATCATCTTGTAAAAAAAAGACGGGAGGTCGGGAGTGGATACCCTGCGTGTAAGCCGATTGGATCCTCTCTCCCTCTGCTTCCATTCTCCGGATTCCGGGAATAGACGGAGAGGAAGTTGTAAGGTAGCATCCGGTGTGCATGGTCGGCAACGTGTTACGCGGGAGGCGGGCATGTAGGGAGCCATGTGATGAACTGACTGGTCGGGTGGTTTCAACCTCGGTATGATGCATACTGTTGGGATAAAAAGTGAAGGGAGGGATATGGCACCCTGGTACATTCAAAATAGCAAGAAAGGATAACATACACTACACCAAATCTAGAACTTGAATGTGTCGAGACTGGTATGTGACATCTGCCACAAGAGTGAACCAACCTGCTTCCGATCCCTAGGCGATCCTTTCCCGTGCCGTGAATCCAGCGACGTTACATCTTGAGATACTGTATGTGGTGAATAGCGGCGCATCTGATTCGCCTAACCAGGATTGTTGTCCTGCTGTGTATACTGTACGAATGAATATGGGAAAGGTCAGTACAAATGAGTAAGAGCCTAGACTCTCTCTGTATAGGCATACACCTGTGTGCCGTCGAAAAGGGCGAGTTTCAAGCCCGAAAATCGACCATGTCGCAAAAGCTGGAAGCCAAAAAGAAAGTTGCTAATAAGCACGTGGAAAATATATACATAGGAGTTACAAGTTAGATTATTGGCCGAGTATGCCTTCAAATACTTAAGTAGTACGGTAGTTCTGGCGAGTTGAGGATCCGAAACCTCGCTTATACACCTCCTACACTAGTTCGCATGAACAGCCCAGTCATGGGTATGAAAATAAGTCTCACGAACTCACTATACATAGTATGTCATCGTCAATAACACACTATACCGAGGATTTGAAACCTGCCGAGTTGCATGAAGGGCCGAACGATGCAACGATCAGGCTGAAGCATATGCTTCTTGTAAGTACATGTGGTATCGTATTAGGGGCTCTGATTTGAGTTAATGTAAGGCTGAGGCGTTCATATGACTTATTTCTTTTGCTTCCCCCTAGAATCTCGCCTCCTCTCCCAGATTTGTAAGTACGATTCACCAAGATACAGGAGTTCCTTCTGAATATCTTCTACAAACAAATCTTGACACACGACCCATTCATCCCGGCCCTTGTCTTTCAGCTGAACCTTCCATGTCTTGCGCTCCTCACCAGTGTCCGCAACGTCTTCCTTAGCTCGCACAGCCTCGTGTGTGACATTGGCCACGAGGTCATACCAGATTGGCTCCCCAGGGGGGTGGTCTGCCGGACTTGGTTCTACGTAGGGTGAGGCGTCCAGACCAACACGCGCATCGAATGTAACAATGGTTGGATTGCGTTCTGAGACAAATTTGTTCTTGGAAAAGCGTTTGATATGGAAAATGAGATATGGGGGCAAAGGGTGCATTAGTCGATAGCGTTTTCTCTGAGCTAGGTGTTCCTGCGCCTTTACCCCATCATACTTGGACAATATGGTGGTCAAAGGCACTTGGGGGATGATGTTGCCTTCCATTTCGTCCTGGAATAAAGGCGCTGGAGGTAAGTCGAGAGTGAGTAGTAAGAATCGCGTGATATCCGTCTTGACCTCAGCTGCCTCTTCGAACCGTAACCGGTCACCAACATCAGCCTTGGCTGTGATGGCTTGCGACTCGACCTTGAGCTTGCCTTGAAATATGCGTTGTATAATACTGCTACCTGGTTTCGTCTTGCTCCCACCTAGACCTAGATGTAGATTGTTCAAGAACCAAGATAGGAAGTCGACTGGGTCTGATTGCTCTGTTAAGGTGAATTTCTTGTTAGATCTCAGAGAAATCTCTTGAAGAAGTTCATGAGGTGACACGTGGCTCTTGAAGGCGCGAGGGTTCCAGATCTTCCGGAAAAGGATGGCGCAGCGTTTGACGAGTTCTGGGCGTGACGAAAAATCCTCGAGCAAGAAAAAGTTCCGCAATGGCGCGATATGAGACAGAGCCTGAACTACCACGTTTAGATAGTCATTCTCTTTGATATTATTCATGCCCACATAGCCCGGAGTGTACGGTTTTCCACCAAGTATCCACGCTGTCCTAGGCTTGCGGTCCAGCTGCATAACCTCCTCCTTCGTATATCTAGGATCAGAGACGTATTTGATGTCGTCAAGCGACTTGCTCTTGACTTCGTAGCCCTCGGGCAAGACGTAGACCTTCTGCGTCTCCATATTAATGAAGACATGATGGCCGTCCTCGAGCGCATGGAAGTACGCGTGTGATTTAGGCCCTCTTCCCTGGAAGTATTTTCCGCATACTAAACAAGCATAAACATTTATGTTGGATAGACTGATGGAACACAATTTCTCGAAGTCGAAGTCGAGGACGTTACGATCTATCGTGTCAAGATACAAGTCGCTGTACCCTTCTGTTGGCGCGGATTGTCTTATGGGTGCCTTCGCGGGTTCATCATCGAAATCATCGTTGTCGCTTTCAATGTCCGCGACGCTATCTTCGGGCCTCTCCGACGGTGTTGCAGTAACATTCCCATTAAGATCGGGGCCTTCATCGAACCGTGACTTCTTAGAAGCAGGCGAGTCTACGCCGTACAAATCGTCGAGAGCCTCGGAGGCTTGTCTCTTCGACATCTCCCTTTGTAGTGGTCTAGTCTTGGAGACAAGACGGCGAGCCGATATTTAGGTAAGCTAGGCCCAAAGGTAATGCGCAGACACGGCTAAAGCTCTAGACTTGAGGCTAGAGGGCGACCGATTCAAGGTTTCGTAGTTAACTTCGCATTGGGTAAGTGACGAGGCTGAGAGCTCCAACATGGCCGACATGGGAAGAATTTCAAGCTTCTGGGAGGTACCTACCTAGAATCTAGCAGGACCCCCCTCCAACAATAGCGCCACCACCCTAGCTCGGTCGCTGTAGCCTCTGCCTAGCCTGGACCTTGGCCCGTCATTCTCCACTTCTTTTCAATAGGTATCGACATGGTACCTATCATCTTGTGAGGTATATGCAGGAAAGCTGCTTGTGCCTTACTGGGTAGAAATATAGATAAATGAGTATATAATTTCTTTTAAATAACAATTTAAAACCTGACTCGAGCATAGGTGACTGTTTCCTGTCTGTGAGGAGGATTGTATTTTATCTCAGGCTACAAGGATAGAAAGCGCATCTAGGTAAACCAAGATTCGTTGCTACATGTAGGCGAAGAATGCCCAAAGACATTACTTACTGCCTAACCGTTGTTCATTTTAATACCTCTAATTCCCGGAACAAGTCGCTGCTTCTCTAGTGGTGGTATGAATACTCAATTTGATAGCACATCGACTGAATTAACTACGCGTGCTGCTATTACTGTAGGCAGTTGTCTATGGTCTGGCATGTTGCTATCGATGCAAAAGCATCAATGACTATCCTGATAGTGGGCGTAAGGCTTGTGAACTGAATTAGATTAGCCTCTATTGACATTTTCGATCAGACCAAGCAAAGAACAGTCTATAAGCAGTCATAACAGAGCTGAACCAGCTACTCTTGATTGCTATACTATCTAAAAGTTGCAGCTTAAAGAACATTTATAAAGGCATTTACAATTCCGCCAGACCGTATAGCGCCCAGAATGGAAAGCACCTTTGAGTGACTCTAACCGTGCCACGCCCCACTGTTTTTCGGATTGCAGATTGTACACCTACTAAAGTAGGTGCTAGCCACCAAAATAACCAGTTAGCAAAATAACTACTTTTTTTAACCTTTTTACCTTTAACATTAAAAAAACACCCTTATAGTTGATTTTCAAGCTTTAAAATGGAATCTAACGTTTAAAAAGTATTGGATTACTTATAGGACTTCCTATTTGCAAAGATAACGGCTATTGCGTAAACCTTTAACATTATACGTATAATCCTTTAAAATTGCTTCATAGGCTATAGCGGACCTAATTAACCGCTACCTTTAAACTTAAAGCTTAAACCTATTAAAAAAGAAGTTATTTATAATTATATTAATTGCTTTAATTAAATAAACCTAGCTATATATATTAAATTTATCTTTAATACTATTAATTATATATTAAAGGTAAAGGCTTACCTTTAAGATTTTAACTTACCTATAGTTAATTAATTTTAATTAAGGCGCTTTATTTAATAGTATAGCTACTTTTAAAGGTTATAAAAAAAGCTTAATTTAAATTGTATAATATTTAAAAATATAAAAGCTATTAATAAATATTTTTAAAAGTTATAAAATTTATTAAAAAACGAAGATATTATTATAAAGGATATATAAAATATAAATAAAATTAGATTTTATATTAAAATAATTAATAATATATTTATTATTATTAAATAAACTTAGGTTTATTATTTTACTTTATTTAAAAATAAAAAGTTAATTATTTATATTAAAGCTATTTCCGCTATTAAAAAGGTTATACTTAGCTTTTTTATATTAATAAGTTAAATATATATAGTTTAATAATATTAAACCTTTAAAATATTAAAATTAATAATTATTATAATTAACTTAATAGGTTATTTAAATAATTAATTAAGCTTTAAATAGATTAAATACTTTAAAAAGTATATTATATTATTATAAATTAATTAAAAATAGCTATTTATATTAAATAATTATAAATTTTATTATATAAAGAAATTTATAACTTATTATAACTTTTATAATATTATTCCTTTTAATTTATTATTTTATTTAATTTATATACTTTAATTATTAAATATAATAGTTTTTTAACTTTTAAAGTATTATTATATAAAGGCTTTAAATATTATTATTTAAAATAAAATAATTAATATTATAAAGTTAAAATTTTTAAGGTATATTTAATAGGTTAAAATTTAAACCTTTAAGCTTTTAATAATCTTTTTAGCTTTTAAAAAGATTAGAATTTACCCCTTTAATTTATTTAAAGTCCTTTAATTATTAAAATAATAAATCTTTTATAAGGTAATACCCCTTTAATTTATAACCTTTAATTTATTATTTAATTCTTTTATATTAACCCTTATAACTTTATAATATATTAATAAAATAATATATTATATTATTAAAGCTTTAAAGGGAATAAAAGGTTTTAATTATAACTTTATTAATGTTATTATTTAATTTATTAAAGGGGTTTATTTTAAATATTATAAAAGTGGTTTAACTTTAAGCTAACCTTTTAAGGATATAATTAGCTTAAAAGGTTTTTTAAGCCTATAGATCAATAAAAAATGTTATAATTAAAGTGTTATATATAAGGTAAAGCTTATATTAAGGTACCATTTATATATTTATTATAAAATAAAAAATGGAAGAAATATTTTAAATATAAAAAGTATAGCAAAGTATTTTAATATATATAATAAAGCAATAGTTATATAATAATTATAATATGTATAATAATATAGCTATTTAAGCCTTAAGCTTTAAGTAGGTTATTAGGTTAACTATTATAACTACCCCCCCCTTTAAAAAATTCTTACCTTAAGAATTAAATTTATAGCTTTTACGTTATTATTATTTAATTAAAAAAGGGATAGCTTTAAGTTTTTACCCTTTTATTATTATATTATAAGCTTTTAATTTATAGGAACGCTTTAAGTATTTTTATAATGCATTATAGGTTATACCTATTAAGTTTACTTATAATAATGCTTATTATACTCCTTTTCTTTAATTTATATAGTAGTATATTTTATATATCCTTTAATATATTATTGTTAAGGTATGCTTTATTAAACCTATTTTCCTTTATAGCCTTTAATTAATCCTTTAATCTTTTTAATAGTTTTATAAATTTTAAGTTCTTTTTATAAAAGTTAAATAGTAACTTTAAGGAATTTTTAAAATTATTAATAAAGTATTATTAATTATTAAAATTTTAACTCTTTTAATTAATTTAATATTAAAGGGTTTTTTTATAATATAGTTAGGATATTTTAATTTTTTTAACTTTCCATTTTTTTTATTAATATTAAGATTAATAATTTTACTATTAAGTTATTTAATTACTTATTTTAATAAAGGTATATTAAGGTATTTTTATAATTAATTAATATAATAAAGGTTTATTAATTATTAATTATTAAGAACTTTAAAATAGTAAGTAGTAAGTTTAGTTTATTTAATAATTTTAAAGTATTATTATATTATAGGATAATTAAGCTTAATGCATCTCCCACTTAACCTGGCCACCCAATTGAGCTGGCCACCCCCTTAACCTATATAAAAATCCAATGTTTCAATCTGTAATAACTTGACCAGTATTGGTCCCATGATTTTATAATTAGTACCATTAGATCCGTTATTTAATGACGAATCCAGTGGTATTCTTTACTATTTTTTATAAAATTTATTGAGCGAGATATTAAGCAATACGCTAAAAGGGCGCTAGCTAAGGGTTATTTTAGCGCTTACTTTAGCGTATTGCTTGATAACTCCACGAATATAAGTCGTATGAATTAATGGAGGGTACCGTTAAATAGCTCTCTTTATTACGAATCTAATGGTATATTTTACTATATTATACGACCAATATCCGTAGAGTTATTAAATTATCACGTGATTAGCGCACCGATTTTTTTTGTATGGGCTAGGGGGGTGGCCAGCTCAATTGGGTGGCCAGGTCAAGTGAGAGATGCGTTATTAAAAGGATGATTGGTTATTTATAATTGCTTTTTCTTTAGGATGAATATTTGGTTGCTTATATTAAAGTTTAATTTTTTATAGTAATAGTTTTCCTATTTAATTATCTTATTTTATATTTGCTTAAAGATCGTTTAAGCTATATTAATATATTTTTAATAGTTTTAAATTATTATTAAGCTTCTTTATAATTTAATTACTCCTTTATAGGAAGTTTAATTATATTTACAGTATAACTTATCCAGTTATAGTGTATTAGTATTAGGAACCCAAATAAGACTTCGTGGGGTTATAACTTAATTGATTTATATAATAATAAAGCAATAGTAAAATCTATAATAAGTAAGGCATTACTTTAATTATTTTAATAATGGTTATAATATAATTATAACCTTTAATTTAAATATTTAATAGCAATTTTAACCTATCCTATTAATTTATAATATTCTATTAAAGATAATTTTTATTTAATGCTTAATATTTTAACTATTTTATTTATAAATAAAGAAATAAACTATAGGCCTTTATTAGAATTTATTTATTTAAGTAATTTATATACTTAAAAAGAACCTTTATAATATAAACAAGCTGCCTTTTAAATGGTTACTTCTTTAATATAAGGTATTAATTATAATACTTTATTTAACTTATTTATTATTATAAAAACATTCTTTTCTTTTTTATTATTTATTATTATTTCCTTAAAGTTTATTATAATATAATGGAATAGTTTTAATAGTATAAGTATAGGTTATAAAAAACTTAAAGTTTTATTATAAAGGACCTTTATAGGTTAATAAATTATATAGTTTATAATATAAGTCTTATAATCTTTTTTTAATTTAAGCTATTAATATTAAATGGCTATTAATTATTTTATTTTATTTTAATTAAAATAAGTTATAATAATCCAATTATATACTTTTTAAATAATATATATATATATAAAGTTTATATTAAGCATTATTAATTTACCCTTATAAATGATTAATCCTTTATTTATATATTAATTTTTATTATAACTTAAAGTACATTTATAATAAAAGGTAAGCGTATTTAAATTTTAATTATATTAAAGAACTTTATTTATTAATAATATAAAGAGGGAAAGTGTATTAATTTTTATAGTATTAATAGCCTTTATAGCGTTATTAAAATTAAATAGTTTATTAATAGAAGGGTTAGTATTAGGGTTTTTTATTATTAAGCGAAACATTATTAT